GGCATAGCATCTTGATTCATAAGTCGCAGCTAATATATGCACCATTAAATAAGAAATAAGAATCTATGGAGTGATTTTTCTGCCAAAACGTGAACAAAAATGCATGTTGCGTACACACATAAAGCATGTTGCAAATGCATAAAGCATGTTTCACACAAACAAATCTTATCACTCACAAATAAACATGTTGCACCCAAATAAATCTTATTGTTCACAAATAAAACTTGTGTTACAAACTCTCATCTAATGTCACACACAAATAAAACTTTTTTTTCAAACGGTCCTTAAATGTTGCACACACACTAAAATTAGTTTTACAAACCGACTCTAACATTGCACTTAAAATATAATTTGTAAATTGTCCCCGAGTACAAAACGATCTCTGCTCGCATACAAAACAGCCTCTCCTCGTGTGTACGAGACAATTCTTCACACTCCGCCGTAAGTTTCTGTCAAAAGTTACGCGATACATGGAGAATTGTCATTCTGACTAACCGACAGCAGGAGGCGCCATACAATCAAAACAACTGAAACTGCCTTAAGTCGAGCTGCGTTTCCCATCAGATACGGTTTCCCCTGAATCTCTGCACAGCGTAGGTGGCACAATTCACCGTGCAAGCCTATATGAAGGGAAGAAAGTTAGAAAGGGATAAATCGGGATGGATTGATGGCTCAATCGATCTGAAAACCCTGTTAAAAAAAACCTCACACCCATGAGTAGAGGTAAAGCAGCCTGATGATATTTACACCGCACCAGATACGGTTCCCCACATGTTAAGAAGAGGGGAACGTTATCTGACGGAGTTTATAGGTCCATCAGATACCGTTCCCCCCATGTTAGACAGGGGATCGTCAGATACTGTTCATTAAAGATACCATCCATCCATCCATCCATCCATCCATCCATCCATCCATCCATCCATCCATCCATCCATCCATCCATCCCGATTTCTAACTTTCTCCCCTTAAATTCACCTTAATAAAAGGTGTAAATGTTTTTTTTCTCTTTCTTTTTTTTTTTTGAACTAAAACCAGTAATTAGTTTGCCTATTTTCTAAAGTATCAGTACAGCAACTACTCTTTCATACATGAACGCTGCTGCTGCCTGAGCTGCTAACAAAGATGAGTTCTCATAACAGGAATTCTGGGAATGAAAGTGCTGTTTCTTCTGACTTGTATAATAGTTTTTAAAGTAGGGCTGAAATAGTTCATTTAATTAAGTGTTTTATTTGGATAACATATATTTTTCTGGATTAATAGTTAAATACACAGAATTACTATAAATAACAATATCTGCTGCTCTGTTTTAAAGTGATTTAAAGTGAGTGTCAGATTTGGTCTTAAGTCTATATTACCTGGGATACAAATTTGGCCTCAAAGCTCATCTGTGTGTATTTTTTTTAGCTTAATATCCTGAACGATATTTTACATAATCATCTACAACCCTGTATCCTGTTTGTTCCTGTGTGTGCAGACCCAGTTGCTTTCGATCCAAACACAGCCTCTCCGTGGCTCTCATTAAGCGCTGATCTCACCAGCGTGAAGGAGAGCCCAGAGCGACTGACCGTCCCTGACAACCGAGAGCGCTTCGAGCCTATCGTCTTCGTCTTGGGGGCTCAAAATTTCGAAAGTGGAAAACATAAATGGGACATCATTGTCGGTGACAACCCTAAGTGGATCCTGGGAGTGAGCAAGGTGGAGGTGGCCCGAAAAAAGAAGTTCACCGTCTCACCAAATCGTGGGGTGTGGGCTCTGGGGCTGAGTAAAGGGGTGTATACCGTCCACGATGAGAAGCGCACAGAGCTGGTGGTGCCGCAGAGTCCTGAGAAAATACGCATCAAACTAAATATGGATAAGGGAGAGGTGTCGTTTTGGGACGGGGGGAGAGAGAAGCACTTAGTCACCCTTAAATATGAGTTTAAGGGAGCACTTTGTCCTATTTTTGGCCCAGGCCTCCATTCTACTCCTATGCTCCTGGCCCCTGGAAAAATAGCTGTACACACATCATAAATGAACTTTCTTCCCCTGTAAAACAGGCAGGTAGTCTGGGCAACCAGAATGATCAGACTTCTACATAGCGTATTACGCTCCATGTAATTCAGTCTGACTGTGCCAGGGTAACAGGCAGATGGTTAACCCATTTATGCATGACTTAAAAGTTTCAGTACAGAACTCTAAAAAAAGCTTATCAGGCGATTTGATTTTAGATGCATGTTTGAGAAAAATATGATAAAACATATCTAATGGAGATTAATATTTGCTGTTAGGGGTGCTTAAAGTGCAGGTGTGATTCTTTAAGCAATATACAGCAAAAAAAATTTCTTAATGGCCAAAAATATCTTTCAGAAATTATTTCCATTTAAAGTACAAAAAGAGAGCAATGAAGGCTAAAGTTTCAGAAAACAACCAACTACCCCTTTTCATTGCAGTCATACCACAGGAAACACTTCACCTTTTGATATCTGACGAAAAGTTTAAATACAATATTCATATTCAATCATGTTTTTATCTTTTGCTATGTTGGCGCTTTTCGATGCTTGGGTGGGTTATGTTTTCTTCTAAAATTTTGCTCTTCTATGCAATGTTCTAGTTGTTTTTACCTTTTTGTAATGTCTGTGTTGACTCTTTTTCTAAGGTAATGTCTGTGATGAGACTTTGATGGCTTGTTAATGAGAAAGGATTGTATTAGTAAGCTTTTTATTTCTTGCTATTACAGTGTGATAACAGTGTACACTGGAATGACTTAAAGTGGGATGAATTACAACAGAATGTTTTGTTTCTTCAGTGATATTCTACTTGTTTTCTTTTGATCTCATTAAAGGCCAAATACTGAAACCTAACTTGGTTTCATTGTCCTTTTGCTGAAATGGGAAAAAAATAAATGCGCAGTAAATTCCTAAAGCCTTCACTCTTTTCTTTTTTGTTTGTTTGTTTTGATTTTTTAATACCTAGCAATCAAAAATATATTTATAAAGGTTTGTTGATGCTAGTTCTCCTCTCCAGTGAGCAGAATGTTGGGTATATCATGAACAGATGCAGAAACAAACTTCTACTTGACGGCGAGACCGGGTGATTAAATATGCATATCTTTGGACAAGGAGGAACCCAGAGTCCCTGTAGTGAGCTTGTGCACTGAGAAACCACAAATTGCAAAAATGTCTTTCTAAATTTCTCACGTTTATTGATTATATGTTAACTAGAACCTACATGTATATAAAGATAATATGTAAGAGAAAGACAAAATAAATAATTCTAAGCAAAGAAAATCACAGATAAGAATCTGGAAAGTAACCGTGTGGTATTTATCCTCCTAAAATAAATATATATATGTGTGTGTGTGTACTTCATATGGGGTGGGGACCCTGTAATTATATTGTATATATAATATATATTGTATGAAATTGTGTAATATCAAACTGGTCCTATAGTCACTCTATTACAGATAGAGTAATGTAACGAAAGTAGTTTACCCTGGGATTATTAAAGTATTTCTGATTCCGATTCCTGGTTGATGGGACAGTGTCCAGCTTGAAAGAGCTCCTGTGTGTCGCTGAATGTGTGCATGGATGACTGAAAGACCTCTTCTGCCTCCATTTATCTGTTTACTACAGTGTGTTAAATTCATGTAAATGTGTATTTGAAGACATTTCAATTAGTGGTTTAATCTAAAAAAAAGTCTAATCAACCAAAACTTTCGTGACCCCCATGGAGTACCTACATGGACCCCTAGGGGTCGCGGACCCCTGTTGAAGACCTTCGATCTAGAATATAAGATATATTTTCAGTTGTTTCATACTTTTTTTGTAAAGTATATAATTCCACGTGTTAATTCATAGTTTTGATGCCTTCAATGTGAATCTTCAATTCTCATAGTCATGAAAATAAAATAAAACTCTTTGAATTAGTTTTTTTTTTTTCTGGTCATCAAATATAAACAATGCTGCCTTCTCCTCAGCGTGGCACAAAGTAACCTAAACTGATGTTGCTTAACCCGGTTCGATTCAGGTCACTGCGGTAAACAAGGTTCCTGTCCAGATTTTTGTCCTCCATCTCCGCTGGATGGCAGCGCTGTTGGCAACAACATGCTGCTCAGCCTATTGTGTTGGTGATCTATGGTAACAGCTACCAGCCATCAATACCAAAACAACGACGATGGGGTCTTTAAAACCACAGTCGCGGAAGTGATGGCATATTGCGGGTGTTTGGTTGAGAACACCCATCGATAGACGACAGATTTACCCCTTCCATCATAGCATGTAAGATCATTACAGCTTAATTACACCGAGGGATGATTGCAGGTTTGCAGCCACTGACGCATCTGGATTTAGCAGAGCTCTTTTGCTGCCTCTGTCATCCGCATTGAATCGCATCCAACTGCGGCTAGCTAGTTAAGCTAGACGTCAGGTTTCGCCTAGAAGGAGAAGTCCACCCATGTGGCTGCTTGCCTTTTCAAACCCATCGACAATGTAAATTAATATGCGATCAAAGAGACGGGATTTGGTGAGTTCGGTCACAAAAAATGGTCATAAACTGCATAATGGCCGCCGCGAGTTAACGGTTTTCTGCCAGCTAGCTTAGCAACCCCTCCTGTTAGCTTTGTTATGATATCCTGCACAGACTCCCCTTACTTCAGAAATATATATTTCTCATTCCCCCTGTTTTATTTTATTTCATTTTTCAACGTAAACGCGTGTGGTGAAAGCACTTTAGAAGCCATTTATTGCTTGTTTACTTGTTTTGATTTGAGGTCGTACTCGTAATTACAGCCCTTGTTGCATCTGTGGCTAGCATGTAGCTAGGTTATAATGCTTTATTTATCCTGAACTTAGAGTGCAAATATGTATTTTCTCCTTCGGGGTGTAATTTTGTAAATGCCAGAGTTAAGACTCAGTTTAAAATCCTGCAGGGAAATCAAAGGTGCGCAATAGATACTGTATAAGGTGTTTTTAATACAAGTTGTTTTTTACTTTGATGTTTGTTTACAATCAGCTCTTTTATCTTGTGGATATAAACACTTTAGATTTTATAGTGTATCATGCGGTTGATCAGGAAAATGTTGCAGCACACGTAGGCTTATGTTTATGAATGAGTGTTTTGGTGCTGATAATGTCTTATGACTAACTCATGTTGATCAGCCTTTCTTTCTGTTTCCAGGCAGTGCCAGAGATGGCCTCCCCTCTCCCTGTCTCCATTCTCATTCTGGTGGTCCTTCTATCAGCTGAGTGGCCTGTGTGCCAGGCAGGGGACTGCAAGGGCCACAGGCAGGTGCTGAGGGGACCTCCAGGTTATGTCACAGATGGACCTGGAAACTACTCTGTCAATGGGAACTGCGAGTGGCTTATCAAAGGTAGAGTTAATGCAAACTGAGCTCTTGTTTCATATTAGAAGTGAACTTTCTCACATATTGTGATGTCACAGCAAAAACCTCCAGTGTATTTAATTGAGTTTTATGTAATAGAGAAGGGGTCTTTCACGTTTTCCAGGCCAAGGACCCCCAAACTGATGGAGAAATGGAGCGGGGAGCCCCTAATTATAGATTTTGTATGAAACTGTTATATCAAACTGGTCCTATAGTCACTCTAATATAGATGGAGTAATGTAACGGAAGTAATTTTGCCCTGGGATTATTAAAGTATTTCTGATTCTGATTCCTGGTTGATGGGACAGGTGTTGTGAATCAAACGGTGCCCAGCTTTAAAAGAGCTCCTGTGTGTCGCTGAATGTGTGCATGGATGACTGAAAAACATCTTCTGCCTCCATTTATCTGTTTACTACAGTCTGTTGAATTCAGGTTAATGTGTATATAAAGACATTTCAATTAGTAGAAAAAATTGCAGGGGGGGGATATAAATAAAAAAAAAAGTCTAATCAACCAAAACTTTCGTGACCCCCATGCAGTACCTCTGTGGACCCCTTAGGGGTAACGGACCCCTGTTGAAGACATCCGTAATAGAGCACAACAAAGTATATGATTGTAAATATCAGGGAAAGAGGAACATGGATTAAAGATTTATTTAAAAATTATATACAAAAGGAATTGCATGCATTTGTATCCAGCAGAGGTGGGAGATGTGGAGTCAACAAGTCATCTCTCTGTACCAGGCATCCCCAAACTCGGTCCTCAAGGCGCCCTGTCCTGCAGGTTTTAGAGGTTTCCTTGCTCCAGCACAGCTGATTTAATTGAAAGCTGATTAACAGGCTTTTGGTCTACTGCAATCATAACCAGCTGTGCTGAAGCAGAGAAACCTCTAAAACCTGCAGGACAGGGGGCCTTGAGGACCGAGTTTGGGGATGCCTGCTCTATACCATGTGTTTATTTTTTTATAGACTTATAGACTTTATTTGTCTTATTGTATACACAAAGGAAACCCAGTTTAAGGACATGGTGTGAAAGGCATTGTTATGCAAGATTCAGGGAAGTACAAAATAAATTATGGTGCAAAATGCAGTAGAACACTGAGCTGAGTTCGATTTAAAGTGATTTGAAAATTAAAGTCTCAATGAGTGACTTGATTAGAGTTTCAATGTCAGGGTTTGGTTATGGTTTGAGGACCCAAATGCAGAGGCAGAGAGGCTGAGGAGATTTCTTGTTAATTTAATAAGAGGAAACAGTTTAACAAAGGCAGGAATCCAAAAATCCAACTTAAAATGCAAAGCAAACCAGAACCATGGAGACATCAGGGGAAACTGAACACGAGGAGCCAGGGAGAGACAAGGTTGGAAGAAAACAGCAGTGAGAAACCAGCAAAGACAGAAGCAGCAACAACAGAGGAACCAACAAGGAGTGACAGCAGAGGGAGAGTATATATAGCTGAATGAGACAAAGGCAGGGCTAACGAGCTGATAAGGGGCAGGTGTGAGTGGAGACAACGAGGGAGCCAAGGGGAAAGGAACACACTTAAGAGGGCAACAGAGGACAACAACAGAAAAAAACTGAGAACTAAAATAAATCTAAAAACACAAAGTAGGAAATAAACCAATAAAACACACAGATCAAAGTAAAACAGAAAGTAAGACCATGACATTCAACAGTTCAACAGTCTTATGAAAACGGGGGGAAAGCTGTTGCAGAACCTGCTGATCCTGCATTGAATGCTGTGAAGCCTCTTCCCAGAGGGCTGCAGGGAGAACAGTACATGGTGGGGGTGTGAGGCCCAATCTGCACAGTGAATTGAATTGTGTAGATTGTACTCAACTGGGTCAGTGGCTGGGCAGAACAAACACATGGCATAGAGATGACTTGTTGACTCTACATCTCCCACTTCTGGTATCCAGCCTCATTTTCCTCTGATATACTGAAATGTACTCGTACTCGTCGTCTCCCGCTTTATCCGGAACCGGGTCGCGGGGGCAGCAGACTAAG